TGCCGCTACTCCGTTCCGCTGCTCCGTTCCACTTTTCTTTCAGGGCTCAACTTTACTTTGTTTCTCAGCAACAAAATACAGCCCATTGTTATTTATTGAAGATTTGAGATTTCCAAAAACAAAGGAATAAAATGTTGCGTTTCGTTTTTACGTTTGGAAGCTCATTCCCTTTCACATAAGACGGTTTTTAACATTTCTCTGACATTCTGAAAAATAAGGTTTACTTATCTTAGCATAACTCTGTTTTACTAGGCCTGTCAACACAATTAAAAAACTGGTGTGTCGTTTGTAATGTGCACTTTCAGCACAAGTTGACAGTGAGACTGGGGAGGCGGAGTCTTGCTGCTACATCACCACAAATCAAACATGTTAAAAAGACGGTATAAGTCTGTGGACCCCAATACTCGCGGCTGAAAAATCGATACCTCCCGAGGGTGGAAAAAATCGATAAATATCGTAGAATCAACATAATTCTACAGCCCTAATCTCTACTCCCAGATTTGGAGCCTGACGGCTGGTTTTTGGTTGTGATAACTGAAGCAGTGTGCTGACTGTACATTGTAAGTTGCTCCACTGCATAAAATTTTGGCACCTCCACACATCCAATGCCTTATATCTAACAACTGAGCTACATCTTCAGTGATTAATGGCAGCAGCTCTCGCTTTTGTAAGGTTATTGCTGATATCTTGATGTAATTCACCGTGTAGATGACCTCTCCGCGTCATCTCCCTCTGAAAGGCTGTGGGAAGGTGGTTCAGGCAGCATGTGGAGGAACCCAGGTGGCCGTTCTCAATGGTGAGTCCATAAAATGATCGTTACCGTTTTCTTGAACTAAACCCAGGAAGGAAAACGCTGAAGTACACAGATTCATTCAGGTGTCTGAAACCTTCACATCCTGACGTTTCTGAATTCTTCCAGAAAAAGGAGAGGTGTTTGTTTGGGGTTATGGTATTCTGGGAAAAGGACCGAATCTCTCCGAGTCTTCGTACCCGGAGAGGATTCCTCCCACTCTGTTTGGACGCTCGGAGTTCAGCCCCTCTGTTTCCGTCGTGAAGGTCAGATGTGGCCTCAGCCATTTTGCAGCAGTGACGGGTGAGACTCAGATATGGTCACGTTTTTAAGAAATTCTCCTTGACGTTTGAGTTGCCAGGTCATCTTTCAAAGCAGAAACAGAAACATCTGCCGGTTTCTCAATGTTTTAAGATTCTGCAATTGAGAATAAATGTTTGAAATGTTGCATTGATGCAGTAATTCATGCAGAATGAGCCCCAACCAAGTAAAGTGCGAAAAAAATCAGCATGTTTCTCAGAAACCTCATGTTTGTGCTAAAAAAAACGTTTTTTATTTTGTCTAATGTTATATTCTAATTCACTGTGACAGTATTTAGGGTTTCCATTCCATGCGGCTCTGGAGCTGCAAGTGGTTCTTAATATCTTTGTACAAATTTGATAATTAATGATTTTTCCAAAATATGTAGAATGACAAATCCAGGTTTTACCAACTTTTCATTTTATTAATTAATTTTATTAAGTGAGACTAAAAGTACTGATAATGTATTTATGGATTCATATTCAAGAAGTATAATTGTACTTTAAAAACGATAATAAATTTTCTACAGTAGACGTTTATGAAAATGTCAGCTAACATCTGCAGCTGTAAGCTGGCTGGTTTTGCTGCAGGAAGGCCTGAAACGACTCTGTGGATTGTTCAGGTTGCTGACCTAAACAAATCATCGGCTTTGCTGTGATTCCTCTGAGACAGACAGACAGACAGACTTTAACTCTGAGACAAGACGTTATAAACTGACGTGTGTAACTTTTGGTTTTCAGATCGTGGTGAACTTTTCGTTTGGGGGAAAAACATCAGAGGCTGCTTGGGAATCGGAAAGAAAGACGACCAATTCTTCCCCTGGAGAGTAAGAAGATTTTGTTTTGTTTTTAGGCTAACAGTTTGAAATATGTTGTACAAGTCGGGTATTTAGGCTCAGCTTTGTTTTTTACAGTCGTCTCCATCTTGCCTTCATCTATTGAGCTTTCTAATCATAGTCATGTTTGTAGTAATTCATAAAGGAACTTTTGGATGCAACATTTGATTGGATGTTATGTGTTTGACAGATTCACGCTCCAAACACCTAAAACATGCAGAACCTTTTTTGTTCCTTCAGTGTTTGACATCAAATCAGAACAAACTTGTTTTACATCAGCTATTCTGATGATGAACATTTTTAAAGGGTAATTTTGTTTAGAGAGACGTCATAATCCTTGTTATTTATGGTTTCAGTTGTTTGTGATTTTTATTGTTTTTGGTGGTTTCATAGTGGGGCGTAGACTAATAAACCTTCATGAATTAAAGTTGATTGATTTTTGACAGGGTAAAGTTGCATTATTATGTCATTATCATTATATTAGTTGCAATAATATCTTAGACAACTTATTGTCCATCAAAATTTGTCATAACAGGCTTACATGTGTAAGAATATTGTAAGAAGACAAATGTAGTTCATTTTCTTAAATTGAATCAATGAGATTAAGAAATGAAAAAATAGTAAAACATTTGGTTTGAGTGTCCAGGTCCCTCTAGATCTCAAGCTGCTTAAATAAAGGAAATATAACAATATTTTCAGTGCAGTTGGGTTTGTTTTTTCATGACTTGTGCGTAACATATTTTTCTGCAAGTTTTTTTTTTTTTGGCCCTTTCTCTTTCTATAAGAGACGTTTATAAATGATGTTAGAACCTGAGAACTGACATGGATTTCTTTCTTTTTCCCATGATTATATAAATATGTTCAAGTTTTAACCTCTAATGCTGTAAAGATACTTTGCTCCAAGCAGCCAGACTTTCACGTGAAAATAATTGAATCAGTGTTGCTCAGGCTCTCAGTGTCGTGACAGAATATAAAGCCGTTTGGACTTCAAAATGCTAAAAGCAAACAGCCGGCAGCAGATTTTTCCGTTTCTGCTGATATATTTTCTGTATGTTGTTGTAAAACTCCAGAAACCGACGGTTTATTTAATGTCTCGCATCTGAAAAGATTGTCTCGCTGTTTTAAACCTCTGCACCTGCTCGCTCCCCCGGAGAGCTTTTCAATTCACCTCCACAGACGTACATTAGCATTTAAACAGGATTTGAGGGCGTGGACGTCTCCGTGGAAACCCTGCGGGGTTTGGCGCGCACCAGAAATCAAAATAAACTGATGTGTGAACAGAAAGATGGAAACGGTTTGTGCTGATGATGATCTGATCTCTGCGTTTCTCTGGAAAGGTGACCGTTCCAGGCCAGGTGGTGGATGTAGCGTGTGGTGTGGACCACATGGTGGCGCTGGTGAAGTCTCTCCTGTGAGCTGGGATCCATCCATGACTGAAGGTGGAACCAGAACCAGAACCAGCTCTTTACTTCCAGACTGAATCTGGACTCATTTAGACTTTTCCCCCTGAGTTTAAATCTCCAGTTTTGCATCACATGGAGTTTATTTACTGCAGGAAGGAAGAGAAACGGCAAAGAGTTTGGAAAACGAAGCGGTTCTGAGGAATCGGGTTCTAACTGTTTTTGGTACTTCTGGACTTTGTGTTTGAGCTGCAATAATAATATTGATGGGATGGATTATTATGCAGCAGAAAATGGGCTCAGGTTGTAATAATGTAATCTGACACTGACCGTTTTGCTGTTAAAACCATTTGCAAATAAATAAAAGATGTAAATAATAATGACATTCTGATAAGTCAGTTTGTTCTATTTTATGCATCCATATCATTTTTGCAAGATCTTCCTCCACTAAGCCTGTCAGTTTCTGAGGTCGACTGGATGAATAAAAGCTGTGAATTCACTGGTCGGCTCTGGGACCCCCTCTCTGGGGGGAGTTATCAGCTCCTCTTTCCTCTTATTCTGGGAAATTTACACTCAGTTACTGAGATTGGGGGAAAAATACTAAATCCAGGAATGTTTTTAATGCAAAAAATTAATTTGTGCTGCTATAATTTTTAAGAAAAAAAGTTTTAAAAAGTTATTCTATTTGATTCGCACCAAATTGGCTTAACTCTGTTCATGTGGAGGTTCTGGTTGACCTTTGATGACCTCTGGTGATTTTGTTAATATCTTTAAAATGATGGCATCTCAAAAGTTTTTGCTGCACAAATGTTTGACAGTAGTTTACTTTGAGGTTAAAGATTGATCCAAGATTTTTGCAAAATTGATACAGTCAGTATCAGTAACCGATTGATGCTGCCAGGGTAAAATCAATACTTTCAGATTTCATGTTAAAACGTTATTTTGTGTTGTAGTTTCTCAACTCTACTGTTTTTGCTTGAGTTGCTCTCACATCATTTTTTGCACCTTATTTTGGTCAAATGCAAATAGATTTGTTTTTATTATCTAGACATGTTTTAAATGATTATATAGGAACCTATGAACTTTATCTGGATTCACTCCTAGACTTGGAACAAACCTGGGACAGATTTTTATTTCAGTAATCCCTTCTGCGAGTTGTATGACAGTATTTGGCCAAAACTATGAGAATTTATTTATCAGAATGGCGTCTTAATATTTGCAGAATAAAGATGCAATTTTACCAGAATGTCTTAAAATTATGAGGAAAAAAAAGGTGTTTTAATGACAAAAAAGCTCAAATAATTAATTTGATTTTTTTTTCTTCAAAAACATCTCTATTCTGGTCATTTTAACACTTTATTCTCGTATTGCAACAGTTTTCTGGTAACATTACTTTGTTAAGTCAAACTGGATTTAAAGTCCAAATAAATAGAAGTTGTGAAACATGCTGGTCAAACAACGTGACTGAAAATGTGATTGTTAAAAGGTGTTTATCTCCCAGCCTTTTGCTTTTTTATTCCATAAAGTTCCAGTAAAATCTTCTGAGGTTCCTGAACACCAAGAGTTAAAGTTGATCTCTTCTTCCTTTATTTCTTTCCATAATTAATCCTGGAGGCTTTGAAAACCACATTACACCTTGAGTAAAAACAGACTCAAAAAAAAAAAAAACAAAACAAAAAAAAAAAACAGCTCATTTATTTTGTTTTCACACGAGAAGCTCCAAATGAAAAGCTTTTAACATGTTTCTTTGAAATGCAATCAGAAAAACAAAAGTTACCTTCCTGGAGTTTTAACACTGATAGACATGATTTCTACTAATCTGATCAGAGGCTGAAGGCCAGAGGGAACATCGTCACGACTTCTTCCACGTGGATAAAATCATTGTGAAGCGAGAAGTCCTCTCTGGTTTCACATCGGTACAGCAGGTCAGTGGGGGGAGGGGGGAGGGTGTGGGGAAGAGGGGGCAGTGAGGGGGGAGGACCTGTGTTAAAGTGCAGACTGGAGCCGGAGGGGGAGGCGGCTTCAAGACCTAAATGGACACCAGGGGTCGGAGAGGAACCTTCCTTCCCCCTGTGAACCGTAGCTTATGTTCAGCACATTTTCAAAGTGGCTCAGTAATTTATTACGACTGCAGATCATCATTCATCAAGTCTCACTGCGGCGTCACACTGTGAGCAACGCCGGCGTCAGAAAAACATGGCAGAGAGCAGCTTTCTATTGGCCGGTTCTGAGGTGAAACAGAGACGCTAAAAAAAGAATCCTGACTTTAATCTCAGAATTGTAGCTTTTTTGCTATTTTTTTCTCAGAATTGTTTGTGCACAATTTCATCCAAATCTCGTCATGGAACTCAAATCTAGGTCTAGGCTTCTAGTGTGGATAACATTTACAATTCTAAAACTAGGAAGAAGCGATTACTTTTATATTTTGACGCAGAATTAGAATTCAAAGAATGGATTCAGAAAAAAAGTCTAAATTCTGAGATTAAATTTGAAGTGCTGTTTTATTCAGTGGCTCTAATCATCTTCTGTAAACCCTCCATAATAACTGGAGGATTTTTCAAATGCAGTGTACAACTAAAAAAGGATCAACTGGAGTTTTAAACCTGGTTTGACTGGATAAACAGCACATCATTTACTTATTAAATTGTTTTAAGTCATTTTTAAATCAAAAAGAGCTTTTAAAGATTATCGTGCAATGCCTTAAGCATTAATCTGTGAAGGATTTATTCTGCAACAATAAAACCTGACAGGAAGGGAAAAGTTGCCGAGTTTCCAGCCGTTTCTGATGAAAATGTTGATTTAAGCTTTTGCAAAGCATCACTGAAAGCTCAGATTTTAGTTACAAGAAATGAAGAAAGAAACATTTTGGTTTGTTTCAGATGCTTCATGGCTCAGAACTGAAGGTGTTGAGCCCAATTCTCTCCCTGTTCACTAAAACCAGAACTTTATCAGATAAATCAGAAAAGGTTCTTATTGCTATATTTTGGTATTTTCTAAACCAGTGCTGACGCTCCTTCATAGAGCATTAGTGCTCATGCTACTCAGTTTTTCCTTCCATGTTTTTTTTTTTCAATGAGATCTCTCCTGAGCAAAATAGCCACAAATTAAATATTTAATAACATATGACCCACAATAATAATTTTGTCGTCATATGGTAACCAGCAGAAACATTACGGCGATTCATTTTTTCCAGACTGGCTAAGGGAATGCTAAGCTAGCAAGCCAGCTAACTAATATTTAATATTGCCTCAGTTCCACAGTACTGGTTGATATGTTCTGGTCCAATATGTGTTGGACTGAGCCGGTAGAGTTGAACCCAAACGCCGAGCGCAGCATCACGCTGTGATGTTTTTCTGTCGTCCAATCAGTGGACTGTGTTCAGTTAACTGAACGTTTCACTGCTGTAAATTTATTCTGGTGAAGTAATTTGTCTTTTTTTTTTTTTTTTTTAACATATTGGCATCAGTCCGATAAAACTGGGTTGATGTTCAAACATGATTTTTATTTCCATCTTACGTTTCTGGAAAGGTCGACGTTGGGTCACGTGATGAAGTGCAGGACTGCTGGGAGTTAAGCGCTGTTGTCTTAGGAACAATGGGTTCTACAGAGGAACTTTGTAAAATATTTTATGTTGCAGGTCGTAAAGCTGACCTGTCAACACTAAACAATAACAGTGCAAAGATGATGGAGTGTCTTCAAAGTGTATAAACCTGAACCCAAATCTTTGAGGTTCCAATTTTAAAATCAGTCTGAATGATTGAAGTATTGATTTATTAGATAATGAAGAGTAATTAATGCTATATTCAAGATAGAAAAAAAAAAAGTGAATTGAGTCACAGTTCTAAAATCAGCCAGGCTGCTCACAGTGTGAATTCACCAAACATCCAAAAGCTCATCTTATGATTTCCTTCATGCGTCGCCAGACCAGACTTCCCATAATAACCATAAGGTGTGGAGGACTGGGTCAGGTCATTGCTGGTTCAGTTTAACATGGAGTAAAAGATAAAATCACAAGTGTAACAATGAAACCGCCTCCTTCACTGCAAACGTGCAGCAGTCAGACAAGGCATCGGGTTCGGCGTTCAAGCACATTGGCACTGACAAAACGACGGGGGGGAGGAAGAGATGGAGAGCTTACTGAATATTTCTTTGATTTGGAGTACATTCGTTATTCTTCCTTGAGAGGATTGAAGTAGGTTTTACAGTATGGTGCTGGTGGGAGGAAGCAGCTTTTAGAGGTAAAAAGACATCAAGTGTAGCAAACTAAAGCAGTGGCGGCCGGCGGCCAGCAGGGGGCTCCAGGGAGAAAAACAACAGTGATGGCAGCAGAAGCCTCCTTCTTCTCTGAGCTGATCCACAGCAACCCACCAACACACTCTTGGCACTTTTTGGGCAATGATAAATGTTTGAACAAAATGACTGGAAAAAAGAAAAGAAAAGAAAAAAAAACCTAAACAAAAACAAGGTCGTTCGTTCACTGCGCTGTGCTCTCGGTCCGCAGAGCTCTGATCACACTTTGGATGTTCTCCTCCGGGACCTGGAAGAGAAGCAGCAACGACAAATTCAGTTTTAGTAGATGAGGTTACCAGTAGATGATAAACACGACTGAACAGATGAATGAGAGGCAGACTGCTGCACTTGTATGCAAATTTTGCTCACTTAAAAACAAAACAACACAAAACAAAAAAAAAAACTGAACAAAACAGAGAAAAAGCATCTCGCAACCGAAGAGCTAAGCATTGTGTTTGTCTACTGCATGTAAGATATTGACTACTAAGGTTTTCTTACCAGAGCGTGGTCAAACTTGAAGGTACTAATGTAGTAAGCAGGAATGTCAGCTGTTGCCAGAGGTTCTGATATTTGAGCCACGATGCCGCATTCATCTGCAAAAAACATCAACTCTTCATCTCAACGTTGATGAAAACAGTTTACATTGTTCTCCCAAGTACAAAAATACAAAACCAGAAGTAAATATAATCCTTAATCCACTATGGATTCCCCACTTTCATTTGAGGAACATATCAAAAAATGTATTTATGTTATTCAATTTGTTTATCCCATTAATCAGTTACTCTGCACAATACTAAAATTGCTTGTTTTAGGAGCCATTGAAGCTTTCTGTAGCTATTAGACTGTGAAGAGCTACAGGAAGTTGTTGACAGCAGGAACTCACCAAAGCCTAAAGGTTGTCCTCCAATTCGAACCATTTTCCAGAGCTCACCAGAGGCGCTGGTGAAGAGAACGTTGTTTGGAAACCTGGAAGAGAAGAAACGACAGATTAGAACTGAAAAAAATCCAGATTTAATCATTTATCAGTAAAATCGTTTGAAATTTTAACTGATTAAAATCTCAACCTGTAGACATTTCCACCAGACAAAGTAACGACTAAATACACAAAGCCGTTTTCAATTCTGTATTCATTCAAAGCATAATTATCATGTTTTCTATTATCCTTAGCTGACTATGATAATTGTAGAAACAAGATCAAATAAATACAACCAGACTGACAACATGAAGACCTGATGGATGGATGTTGTGATCAAAGTTGTCCCACTTTGATCTCAGGGTTTCCAGTCCATATTCTGCACAGATGTTTCTGTACACTATGCCTGCCACTTGGTTATGTCGCTCCATGTACGCTTTCCCTGCCAGTATCTTGCACCCTGCTGTGATGTGCTGGACTGTCTCAGGGGCCTCCTTGCACAACCTACACCTTGGGTCTTGTCTGGTGTGGTAGATCTGGGCCTCTATTGCTCTGGTGTTTAGGGCCTGTTCCTGGGCGGCCAGGATGAGGGCCTCTGTGCTGTCCTTGAGTCCAGCTTTTTCCAGCCATTGGTAGGATTTACTGATTTCACTTGGGTTATTTGCTGGTATATATATAAAAATAAAAATAAAATAAAAATAACTTATTTTTGTAGTTATCATTTAATTTAGGCATTAATGACCTGCCCACTTCTAGTTTTGAATGGCCGGGCTTTGATTAGGCCGTTAGGGACGAGGTGGGACATGAAGCCAGATGCTTTTCTGCATGGGCTCCAAGTTTAATGAGTGAGTTCATGGAGAGAAAATGGGGGACTCGGTGGAGAAGGAATGAGTCAGAATGACACCCTCTGTGATTTAAGCACACCGCGTCCACCCGAGAGGTTCGTTATTGCTTAGCAACAAGCTAATCACCCCCTCAAATAGCAATCATGAATTTATTCCCCCAACATAAAAGTAACAACCCCTTTAGCAGAGAAAAACAACATCTTGAGGAAATAGAAAGATAATCAAGTTTTATTTGTGCTCACCTCTGAGCTGTCTGCTCGTCCATGACCAGCGAGATGTAGCCCTCGATCAGCGAGAAGGAGAAGAAGCGGATGTGACTGGAATCCTCGCCAGACGCCCCGACCTCTTTTGACCTGGGGAAAAAACTGAAACCTTCAGGAACTCAACGTCTCTTACGGTCGCATTTAGCTCACTTTCATTCCTAAAGGTGACCTGAGGTCTGTGGCCTATACAAAACATATATCTTTTGCACCAACTCATTCTTGGTTCTGCCTGTTTTCAGAAGAGGTAAAACCAGCTGAACAGATGTGCTGGAGCTTTGATAGATGCACAACAGACAGCAGATTCATAAAACCATACTTGTTACCATCAATGTTAGATTTTCAAGATTGATGGAAATCTATGTTGTATATACACATATATATATGAAAACTATGATATCACATTGTAATCATAACATTGCAATAGTAATATGTATATTCAATGAAGGAAGGTATACTTTCTTTTTTATTGTGACTACTGTACCTCACAGATATACTAATGTCTTTAGATTTCAGACATTTGATCAAATACGTATATATAGAAACTTTCAAGCACCTGGTGTTTCACTGCAACAGAGAAAATTTGACAGTCAAAGCAGAAAATTTAAATGTGTGGTTATTTTGTCTCTTTTGTCTGCTTGGAAAAGGAGAACGTGGATTTAATCACTTATTAATCTATTTGTATTGTTTTATTCAGGCAATCTATTATCAGATTGGTCAAATGACTACAAGATTTTTCATTTTGGTTCTAAAAACATGTTAGCTTTCTGTTTATACTGGGCTCCAGAAAACAGCTTCTCTTTCTGATCAGCTTCAGAGTTGAACCCTTTCAGGAAGCGTTGAGGCCACGGCGTGGTGAGCCTCTCACCCTCCAGAGTAGAACATGACATCCATGAGCAGCGTGGCGACGGAGGGCAGCGTGTCTGGGTCCAGGCTGGTCACACAGAACATGTTGCTGGGGCTGGAGAGAGGGTGAATGATGGGGCGGGGCACTAAAACATGACAAAACATCAGTGGCAAGGCGGGATCAGCTTAAAAAAATGAATTTTAATGAGAAAATACCTACCAAGTTTGGGCTTCACAAATCCGTTGGAGATTCCCAGATTGTGTGCGGCGACGGTTTCTCCATTGACAACCCGGAACAGCGTGAACTCGGAAGACAGAGTGTGCATGACCATCGGCAGGTCGCGCTCTCGGACCTGATGGGAAATGAAAAAACAAAAACAAAAAAAAAACAGCAAAGAAGTTTAGAGAAATGGTAGCAAAAACTTTAGTCTGACTTAAGGTGAGGGGGTGGAGCTTAAAGGTCCTCAAAACTAATTTTCTTTAACTCACCTTTCACTTGGACACTGGGCTTACAAAAACTCAAAAGTATTTTCATAAAAAAGAAATAAAATAAACAAAGAAAGTGCTATTCTCTATTAAAATATTCCAATATCTAATATTTGGGTTCATTGGCTAAAAAAATCTTAAAAATCTAAAGAAATGGATTTAACCTAAATCATTAAAGCTTTAACTTTGATAAATTAGATTTTAATGCTTACAAAATGTTACTGCATTTCATCCCTTTTTTCTAAACATCTGTTTATTCAATAATTTAGAAGCAAAAATGAGTTTTTAAATTGTAAATGTTGCTTATTTTGACAGTATATAATTCTTAATTAAATTGCAGTTTAATTACAGGTCCTGCAATTGATCTGATTCAAAATTGTAACCAGGTCTTAAAGTAACTAAAAGCTGCTCACTGGTTTCCAGCTTTATTGTTTGTATTTTAATTTGCCACTAGTAGATGCACTTAAACAAGGAAAAACAGTTTATTGTGTTTCAATATATAATGTTTTAGCTCATTATCAGTTATCCTCAAAAAGCACTGAAAATTCATTTAAATATGCTTGAGTCACAAAAAACAGTTATTCTGTGTGTATGAAGCCCATGTTTTCCTATATTTTCACAGACAATAGAGCAGAAAAATTATATTCAAATTAATGAGGTTAATTTCCCTTTTTCAGTAGTAATATTTTAGTTTGATTAGAAGTTATAACCTAATCTAGAGATTTGCCTATAAATCAATATAAAAATCTACTTTTGTTTCACATTGTAGAATAAGGAACATATTTAAATACTTTTCTGTACTTAATATTCATTTATTCTGAGATGAGATGATGCAATTACAGCCAGTAGAGGCATTTTAGGTCATCTTTAAATAATAATTGTGACACAAAGCAACACAACAGTGAAAACAGATTTCAATCTGTTTTGTTTTTTGGTTTCCATATAGATTTGGTTGGAAACCTGCAGTAAATCAATGTCAGACGTTAAGGAGTTGACGTGGGGAATGCTGCGGTAAACGTTTGTCTGTTTTATGTAAAGCAGACAGTGTGGAGACAGGAAGCAGGTCTGAGTTTGGTACCTTGGTTTCCAAGAAGCTGAGCTGCTGATCCTCTTTATGTAACAGATTATCAACGCACACTGCCGTTATTTTCTCCCCATTTAAAAAAAAAAACAAAAAAAAAACAGAAGCTGGAGTGGGTCAGCAGACCTTGTTTTTCCACAGGACTGATGCAGTAAAAACAAAGAGTCCCTCTGGTTACTCTAGGATTTCCTTCCAATTTAAAAATCAGACAGTCATCGGTTCATCTCATCCCTTTTTCATGCAGGCTCTGTGGACGTAAACAACAGCCTGCCAGCGGTTGCATAACAGACAAATAATGCAAGAGTTACAGCAGGCCGTAAAGCTGACCAGCTTTATGCCAGCATGTATGACGTGACGGCAACCTGTTCAGTTTTAATCAAAATCATCATCCTCAGCTTTATCGCATCCAAATGTTTCCTTTAACGTCTCCAAGCTGGAGGCTTACAGGGATGACATCACAACTGGTTCCGTGGATAATTACAAATTTTAATTTACCTGCAAAAAAGACGCATCTCGAAGTAGAACAACAGCAAAAGTTAATCTAGAAACAGTAATTCAGGTCCTTTCAAGGATATTTCCTGAGCACTTTTTCCTTCCACGAAACTTTGTGAGTATGCTTGGATACATCAATCACTGTAGGTAAACGTGACCCATATTCAACTCTCTCACCACAGTCTGTCTGGCCCAATTCTGATCTTTTAAAATAGACAAAAAAAAAAAAAAAAAAAGCTGATTTGTTCCACTTCCATATGTGGAAGTATATCAGATAAATATCCGATAGTTTTCAAAGTCTGGAGCATAAACGCTCATGTTGCATCGTATTCAACTTTTACATCATAGATGTGAGACATGCGTCATAATTCTGCACCAGAAGAAGCCAGACGCTGAAAATCTGGACGTCAACTACTGAAAAAAATTTGATTTATGGAAAAGATGAAAGAAGTTTGTTTCAGTGAATCACATGAAACCCAAATTTAGTTCTGACTACACATCAAAACAGACTTCTCTACAAAAAACTCTGACATTTTTTGATTAATATCAGAGACAAAGTCTCAGAGAGTTTCTTCAAAATTCATAAATCTTCCATATTCTGTTTTCAAAGTAAATTCCTCCCCTGCAGCTCCAGGACGTTGAGCCTCTATATTCTCATTTTCTACATAACCAACATGGTGTCAACGGGTGAGAAAGAAGCAAAAGTACGAAGAAACTACAGATCAGTATCGGTTCAAAACATCATTATGGAGTCCGACTTCCCTTAAATAAAAGCAACAGCCCTGTGACGGTCTGAAAAGACACTCACCAGGATGAAGTCGGTCTGATACGTTGATACCATGAAAACAGAGATGTTGTGGTCGGCCAGTGGCGCTATGACTGATTTGGCGATTTTGGTGACGCCGATGGGCTGCGAGCTGGAAGCGCTGCCGCCGCCGGAAACCACATTGAGCGCCAGCCATGTTGAATCGGCAACACTGATGAGATTTGACTGAGGCAGCTCTGAGGAAGAGGAGGAAAGAGTTTTTATTCATGGTTTCTGTGGACACAGCCGGAGTCTGACGTTTTCAAACAACTATCCTGGGCGTGGACACCGCTCCAAAAGCAGGAAGCAGGCTACAGCGCAGGGCATTCTGGGTGAATCCAATCAAAACAGGTGCACGAGAAACGGACTGTGTTCTTTTAGTCTGAAACAAAAGAGAAATCCAACAGCCACTAAAATCTGATGCCACTCCTTTTTGTTTGCTTTGTATGAAGAAGGAAGTCGTGCTCAAGAGGTTTTTGATGTTTCCTTCAGCGGTTGCAGTCCAACGAAGAGGGGATCATGTTTTTGAAGGGTTTGGGTTTGACAGTGCAGTACAACACATTTTAGGGTCAATGTAGATAATAAAAGAGGGAAGAGTAAATTTATGCTGAAAAAAAAAAACTTGGACATTTTCCAGAAAAAAGCTTGCAAAGTTCTGTGTTTGAAACGTCAAAGATTTGCTAGAAAAAAACTTCTCAGTTTCAAAAGTTGACTTAAAACTCAGAAGTTCAGAATGTTTCTAGTTTTGTTAGAAATGTACTTTTTTTCTCCATAGAATGGCCCCAACATGCCGTCGCAGTGCACTGTGACAGTGAACTGCACCAGTTGAAAATGTAGCAAAAGTTGCAATTCTCCAGTTGAGTCTACTGGACTAACAGGTGAGAAATGACCTGCACACAATAAAAACTCATCCATCCTTAAATGTTACTAAAACCATGTAGTGTTTCTCAAAGCAGACGAGTACTTTGAAAACACATTTTAGACGATATTTCCACAGCAACATGCTCCGGATGACACCAAGCACTGCTAATCCACCTCATTTGCTTTTGCCACTCCACTTTAAAATCTCTGTCAGTCTGTTTGTTTAGAAAGACGTTGGAGTCAGAGACATGGTGAGGACTTCCTCCTCCTCGCGCAACTCTTTGGTCCTGCTCTGCATCCATGAAATCTCCTTTTTTTAACTCTGCTGGGATTTGGGGGTCAAAGTTCAGACGTTATTTGAGCTTCAAGAAGTTCACCAGCTGCTCCTGGTTGTAAAAAACATCTCGTTGCCACAGTTACATCATATAACAAGTGTCCGAAAGCAAAATAGAGAAACGAAAGAGCAAAAAATCCTTCCAGCTGCACAACATCCAGACAAAGGAAATAATTGTTTTATTTTGGATCTCTGGGCAAACTGGTGAAGAAATATATGCTTTTTAGAATAAGTCTCACTTTTTAAATCACTTCATAAGTGATTTATAAATTTCATTCAAAGTCAGAAACATTTGAGTGAAGCTTGATCGTTTCAAGAAACACAAGTCGAACTGAAACGATTATGATTAATCGTTTAATGAAATAATTGTAAACTAATTTAGTTATCTATTAACGATTGACTGGAGTATTCAGACTCAAAACAACAATAAAAGAATAACTACATTTTTAAAAAAGTAAAAATCCCAAACAGCTCTTGGTTGTAACCACTGGCAGCGTTCAGTCAGGGTTCGGTCAGAACCGCCTGTCCTGTTTACTTGATGTCATCCGACACGGCTTGCTTGAGTTTCACCCCGATTCTAAGTCCAACAAAACACACACACACACACACACACACACACACACACACACACACACACACACACACACACCACACACACACACACACACACACACACACACACACACCACACACACACACACACACACACACTGAGGCACTTATCAGTGTAAAATACCTGCAGCAGTTATGCAACACACAGCATGTGGTCTCCAGAGTAACCGAGGAGGGTCACTGTGGAAACGGCGGCGTAATGACACGGGTTCGTTCACTCAACCCGCCACAAAGAACCGGCCGGCCAATTGGCCTCGCATCTATAACAACAGAGTGTGCTCAAACAGTGGCAGCCGAAGTCGCCGCCGCCGCTGGACACAATTAGAGAAAACACAACGTGATCCCCATCCACGGTTGCCACGGCGACTTCCTTAGCGAGAGAGGCCCACCTTTAAATCCTTCCTCGTCCACGATGATGGTGTAGTCCTCTGGAGTCTCCGTCAAACTGAAGAACTTGCATCTGAAACGGAAAAAACCCAAAAAGAACCTCAGTAAGTATTATTACAACACTTAGATTTGCTTCAGCTGTTTTTAGTTTCATAAAGAAATTAGATGAGCTGGGAAGTTAATTAAAAGATGCAAGGAATCCCCAACAAAAGAGGCAAAGCTTTCAATCCTTCCTCAAACAAACAAACAAACAAAAAAAAAAATCCAAGCAAAAAGAAATTATTTATTTTTTCCCCCACCTACTATCTTGTTAAGGAACTAAGTGCACAAGACAACTTGAAAAAGCGACACCAAAAGGAAACAGAGCTTCCAGTCATCACTGAGCTCTGCTCTTTGGTAGCATGAAGGTTTCTGATGCAGCAGCAACGAAGCAAATCAGAATTTAGATCCAGCACCTTTCAGCAGTAGGAAGATAAAAACATCAGGCTAAACGTCACAAATACCGGAGAAAAACATAAAAAAATCCAAATCCAGCTTTATGTTGCAGTCAACTGGTCCAAAACGCTACAGAGTACGAGACAAGGGGGTTTAATTAAAATGTTACATGATTAAAAATTGCAAATACTTAGGTGATCTTGAAGCAGTTTAAAAAGTTTTACTCTTTTAAAAAAAGACTTTTAGACTATTTTGTAGTCTAAAAGAGCTATTGTTTAGATTTATAGATTGTGGCCCATGTGTCAAGAAGGATAAAAACTGAAGTCTGGAGACTTAATCCAATGAAACAATCACAATCCGGACATTTTAAATCTGTTAAACTGATAATAGATGGTAGATGAGGAATGGAAAACCTCCAGAACCAATGGACTTAACATGCATGCTTCTAATTCAATAAGTGTCCATGTGGAGTAAATGACATTGAACCAGTGTAAATGTTAACATCCTGGATATAAATAACAATAAATGGCTCATTGTTCTGAAGAACTACAAATGTTGGTTGAACAGAAAGTGATAATTAAGGTAAAACAATCTTGGTTTGACTAGATTTAAGTTTTTTAGACTTCACCACCAGCTGAAAATGTAGCTTACAGAGCTTGTTTAAGTTAATCTAATTAGTGTAATATTAGACATTACTGATGGGGTCAAGGAAGCAATAATGAGGAACTGGAGAAAATGAAGGCACCAATAAACTGCAATAGTGGAGGAAATGTTTATAATTGGAACTACAAACTACACAAATGGACAGAAAATGGGTAAAATTGAAAATTCATATAAAAAATTATTGAGGTAAATGTTACCCAGCAAGTAGTTGAATGTGTCCTATGGTTTCTGTTAAAAAATGTGAAATCAATAAGGACTAAAAAAGTTGTTTTCAGTGAAGTTTGTTCAGTTTAACCCATGTTTCAGCAGAAGCAGAGATTTTCCATCATGTCCTTGAACAGACAGGGAAACAGCATCAACATGAGTCCAGTGACAACCTCACTGCTCACCAGCCTGCCGCTCAATATTTACACTTTATATTTGTCTGAACGGTGTGAAGGAACAGAAAGACATCAACACAGAGGCTCCAACAGCTCTGCCTGTGAAGAAAAGCCGCATTTCCTTCTCGAATTAGATGAGCCGTCACACGTCACCCTGATTTTCGGCTTGTTTGGTCGAGCAGGGACATTAAAGAAGACGAGGACAGAGCGTCGTCTCTCCGGTCGGGGCAGATTTGTTCCCCTTTTATCATATTAATGCGAGTTCTGCTTCATGACTTTGTTTACTCTTTGACACGACTACGTTCAGATAAACACGAGACAGGAGAACCACTGCAGAGACGCCGGACATTCGCCTCACTCTGTGAGCCTCACTCTGTGAGCATGTTAGGAACTTCACATGCAGGCTTCAAATGATCCCCAAACACACACAATTCACAGCTCTGGGTTAAATTACCGCACCGTGGAGAACTGATTAAAACTGAGTCTAATCATCAGGAGTATATAATGAGGATTTAAAAACAGAGTTAAAAAATGAAAAAAGACAACTTAGATGGTTTCATTTGAAACAGAAAAATAAATACTTCTAAATGCAGTCATTTCAGGTGCTTTTTGAGAAGATTTTAAGTTTTTTTTCTTTCTGAAAAGAAAAATTACAAATGAAAAAGTATTTCCAAAAAATGGCTTTTACTTCAGTCATCACTTCTGTGAAATATACATTAGTTTAATTATAATAAAATATCTCATTTCAGTGAGTATAAATAAAATAATGCAAATATTTCTTTAAATTTTCTAAACATATTTTAAAAAATATTGTAAAATAAATGTCATTAAAAAATGATACAATCCTGTCACAAAAGTAGCTAAAACATGAATTTCCTGTATTATTTCAGGTCTTTTTGGGAGAAACAAATTGAAGACACGTTCCTCTGTTGAAGCTGTTAAGTCGTATCGAGTGATTTGCCGATTCTGCAGAGGTGCTGACATTCATTTGGAGTCAGGCTCCGAGCGCCTGACAGTAATCAGGATCTTTATCTTCCAGGAGCTGCTCTGAACTCGTCAGCGGCCCGGACGGTACCGAGCCAGAATCCAGCTCGATCGTTTATCTCATGGAGTTTTTCAACACGCTGCTCAGACACAGGGAGCTTTCGTCAGTTTTTAACAAACAAATTATCATAATTTGCCTCAATCCCACTAAATAAGGCTAGTCTTTTACTCACTAAACAAACTAGACTGACTTGATGGACAAATTAACATTTATATTTTTACAGCAGGTTATAGAAAGAAAAACATATTTATAAGTATATATATTTTTACAAAATCTAAGCACTACATTGAGGGAAAATAAAAAATACATGATTTATTGTTATATAAAATCTCTCATGGGAATTCTGATTTATAGTAGCAAAATTACTGTTAATAACTGAAAAGCTCCAAAATTTTAAATGTTGAAATTATTTAAGTGTTTTTTCTCCACTGTAGATCCAGTGAAACCATCAATAAATTTAATTAAACTCAGTAAGATATGTAGCCACTCTGCACCCCGCAGCAATTAAAAAATAAAATAAAAAGCACGCTTTCAATGCAACAAGCATCCTAATGAAGACTTTTTGGCTTAAAAACATGTCAAATTCACATGTTTTGAGTCCTGATAATTAATTAGTAAATTAATTATTTCAATAGTTGATTCATCACAAGAATTTCATCCCACCCACAAAAAAAAGTCAAAATCTAGTTTATATCACTAGATAGAAATAAAATATTTAGTCCTTGTTCTCCTGATCTTATTTTGTTGCAAAACTGCAAAACCTTTGAAACAAACAAAAAAAAGACTACATTTATATATTTGGGAGGAAGAAGAACTGTTCAGATTTATTCAGGTTTTGGCCAAGAGGAGTCCAACATTAGGAGGATCAGCAGGTAACAGAGAATAGAGCGGAAGCTTATTTAAGAGTAAATTAAGAGGCTGTAAACAGCACCAGAAAAACACTTTTCTTTTTATATCTGTAATCACCTGCTGTCGAGTTTCCATTGTTTCTTTGAAACAGCAGCACTTGGAGACTTTTCCGTGATATTAGATTTAATTTTGTGAATGGGTTCAAAAAAGACAAACTGGGTTTTCAATGCTTAACCGCAGAATTGAAAAGAAATCAAATCCATTTCTGCACAAACAGACTGTATGTTCTCTAAAGATGAAAGAAAACAGTTGAAGAGGCCCATCAAAGAGGAGCCACTTCAACATTGGTGCCTAAGTGGAAGAACAGGGAAAAACAACAACAAAAAAAATCCAGTGTGAACCAATGAAAACTCAGGCCCTGCAGTCAAATTATATGAACTTATGTAATCATTTGTGGATGGCTGCCAGCTGCACGCAATCACTTAAAAAATGGACCCAAACATCAAGTCTCATATGGGAGGAACTTGACTTTGTTCAAGAAATGTTCTTGTCTCATCTTTCAACTTGCAGAGAAAAAACAAAATCTTACCAAGTGTTTTGGGTGTAGTTTCTAGTGCAAATTCCTCAGTACAGCAGAAATAAAACACCAACAACAAGTAACTTTTCAGCAATTTATTGGAGCTTGTTTTAAGTACGGTAAATAATTCCTTAATACTGATGAAAAGGTACTTGATCCACAGGGAGAGTATTTCACTTAAAATACATTTTTTCCCAAGCTTTATGTGAAATAGTCTCTAGTACTTCCCTTAAAATAAAGATTAAATTATTTACTTAAAGCGGACCTATTATGTAAAATTCTGATTTTGTATGTTTTTATATTTCCTTTTGGGTCTCTACTGCTTCTCAAAACAATCCAAATGCTTAAAAATAAACAAATAAAAAACACCCATCTGTTTTTTGATGCCTGGAAAACTTTCCAGATGTAAGGTCACAAATTAGCAGGTGCTGCCCATCACATAGAAACCCAAGCAGAGCTTCAGTACTCTTGACCAACTGGTTTTACTCCTGAATGTGTCATACAATGGCTGCTGGAAAAGTGTTTTGTTGTCGAGTTCAAAACAGGCAGAATTTAGCAGGTGAAATCTCATTAACAAATTATTTTGTGCAACAAATGTAATCAACATGTTTTGTGTAGGCCACAGATCTATCCTAAACTGTTCAAGGAAGCATAATAGGTTGCATTTAAAACACGCTTTTATAGCTTCATAGTTTTGTCTTATTACAAGTGTTAAGACATTAGCACTAGAAACCAGACCAAACATACTTGGTAAGATTTTGTGAATTCGCAAACTGCAAATTTAACTTATGCTCAAATGTAAAGAAAATATGTTTTTACAGTAGTTCCTCTGCAGGGGGTGGATTTTTGATGTGAGCTCACAAAAAAGGTCATTCTTACATCAAAAGTGAAGCTAATTGTGAAGCTAGCAGGCTGCTAGCTTAAATGAGGGAATTAGCCAAATTCCCTCATTAAATAACAAGCCATTCATTTGGTTCAGGTGTGTTGGAGCAGGGATGAATCCAGCTGCATGCAAGAAGCTCCTGCAGACTGGAGTTGGACTCCACTTGTCAATTACATAAAATCCCAATAAAATACACTGACGTTTGTGTCTTTATCATGTGAAAAACCCTAAAAATAAAGGGGAAACACCACACATTTCACAAAACTCCCAAGAAGTAGTGGTTATCATTTAAATATGTAGTGGAAATTAAAATAGGAAGCAAGCCTCCAGAGAGCATCAAGTCCTCATGGTTGCAGAACAAGTGGTCATTGTTTATAGTTCATCACATGTTGTAAAGTTTTGTTCTTCTAGTTTATTTCAGGCAGCTCGACCTGTTTATCTGGAATAACTGGATATGAGAATCAATATCAATTTAAAAAACACAAAAACACTTCTTACTTTCTGTCTGAAACATCAGAAATCAAGGAAGCTGACACTGACTGCATGATGTTAGCAAGCAATGAAACCATTGCTTTAATATGTATTTGTATATTAAGCATAGGGCACCAAAGAGGGATTAAATTATGGGGTTTAATTTGGAATATTGCTACGAAAGTGGAAAGAAGGACAGAAGAAAGGAAGACTGGACACAAGGAAGGGATGAAGGACAGATATGAAAATAAGAAACACAATGAAGGAGGGAGTAAAGAAAGTTGGACACAATGAGGGAAGATAAGACCCAAGGAAAAAGACATGAAGGATGGCAGAAAGTATACGAGGAGGTAAAACAAGGGAAAAAAAAGAAACACAACAATTACAGCAATGGCAGAATGAAGTCAGCAAATATGAATATTTCCAAACTCTTATTAAAGCTGCCGTGTATAACTTTTGTTAAATATATATTATTTTCCATGTTTTTGAAACTGTCACCATGTTGTAACAGTTTGACAGGAGAGGCAATCTGTGAAAAAAATGAGCTCCCCTCCTTTCTCCCAGTGATATCCAGAATCAACCAATCAGAGCTAGGAGGCGGGTCTTGGCGCGGTCAATCACCTCTTTGTGCTGCTGCTCATCCCTTACTCACCGCATGTCTACACATACCCCTTTCCTGTCAGCCTTCTGTCATATAAGGGACACCCATATATGACAGATCAGTTTTTGCCAATATGTAAAGAAAACATTTTTATAGAAGTTATACTGCACCTTTAACTTAGCATTTTTCTTGTTTGTTTGTTTTTTTTTTCTTGAACTTCTACAAAAGCTCTTTGCCTTTGATTTGATTGCACAAAAAGTGCTCTATAAATAAAGTCTTATCGGTTGGTTGATTGATCTTACAGACTGCTCTTAGAAAAATGTTTCCAGCATAAGCAGTTTGAGATAACTGAGATCAGCTGAGAAAGATAAATCTTCAGATGTTATTGGTCCCCAAACTGTAATCAATACTAACAGCATGTGGCTACAATGCAACTTCAGGTAGTTTTGATCCTGTGAGGTAAAGTTTAACCTTAAGGGATTGAGTTTTATCAGCGATTAATTACAGCAGCACCAAGTTTTATCTGGGACACCACACAGAAGGACAGAGAGGTAATTACAAGACACCAGCCACAACAGAACCAGAAGTAAAAACCGTGACTATTCCTCTCATGAATGGGTGTTAGAAATGTTTTCTGCAACATTCTGCGAGAGCGCAGATTAAAAACCAAATTGGCCACAGTGTTTCTGAGGTTTGTTTACACTGAAACCTGGGAAAATCTTAACAGAAAATAAATAAAGAGTTGGCCATTTTTAAAATGTTCTTATGTAATGCCATGCCGGGTTCAACAAATGATAATTAATGAAATATTACAATAAATATCAGTTAACTGCCTTATAACAGTGTTAATTCTGCTAGAAAGAATTATTACTGCAAAAGTGAAATTTTCATAATTAAATACACTGAAAGAAAAGTTGGCCTTCTTTTTAAAAAATAAGAAAAAATATGTTCAACTTTTAATGGAAACCAAACTCCTGAAAAACCTGAAACAGGAAATACCATAAAAGCCAGAAAATGATCACCTTTACAAATTTAACTGTTAATGACAATTTGACAAGATATCAAACATATTGTTCTTTTAGCATAACAATTTTTTTTACTGACAATTTACAGACTTGCATATTACATACTAATAAAATATATGTTCAAGTCTGTAGTACAAAATATTGCATTTTACTTTAGTTTTGATTAATTTTAGAAAGATATGATATATAAACTGATATAATAAATCAATGATGTCCAAGAATCTTGACATGCTCACCAAAATAGTCTGACTTATTGTGATTTTTTTTACTTGCTTAGCAATGAATGAAACAGAACATTTTAAAGGAGGAAGAAAGTCAGTTTGTGGAATTACTGTTGACAAACTTATTATTCTTTTATTAATTATTTTTGAACAATCACTTTTGTACTGGTTAATATAATTAAAGTACTCATTTTTGATTTTGTGATTCAGTTTCTTTGACTATTATTCAATTTTCAAATCATGAAGCTATATTTTTATCCTTATGATTGTTTTGAACTCATACTATTTTAAAAAACCTTTGTGCTTGCAGCCTTTATTTCTAAACATACTTTACATCACTTGATTCTAATAACTTGGTATTAGTGGGTTGCAAAAGGAATTTAAAGCTTTATTTGGACATATAAAAAGGCCAACCTAACATTATTTGTATCCCAGTAGCAACTGTGGTAGGGCACCAAAACAAGCTTTCACCCAGGCCCCGCTTCCTGCCATTTACGGCCCTGAGCACCGGGTCTTCTACATTAGAAGTTTCCGCATTTAAAATGCCCTCATCTGCATGCAGAACTTTACCAGATCGGGCGAAAATTACTCTGACACAAGCCAGAAAGCAACAACATAAACACCAACACTGGCGTCGATCCACAAAGCGTCGTTATAAACCCTGCACAAGCCGGACAGGCCCTGAAACTGCGAGCTGCTCTGACAACAACACCTAAAAGCAGCATGATTGGAGCTTTAACACTGAACTCCAGGAGCGAGCTGCAGCTTCAATAAACACCCTTTAACATGCAACCCCCGGTGTTTGCTGGCTAGGTTAACAGCAGCAGCAGGAGAAGCACATAAAACACGCATAAAAACAGCTTCACACGGATAACAGCACTCTTAAGTTGCCTACCTTGTTTTGGAGGCCAGGAAGGCGAGTTTTATTAATCCATGGGTGCAAATCTCGATCCCCTCTTTCTCTATACTCGCCACTTTCAAGCTGTGCTCTAAAATATGAAGCTCCATCTTTTACGCCTTCTCATTGGAGGAACGTCTAAAACTTAAAACAAAACAACTAAATAGTGTGAGACAGAAAGCATAAATAAATAAATAGACACATACGGCTGGCTGGGGCGCATTAAACAGGGAAAGAAACGGGGAGGTAGGGTAGAATAAAGAAAGCTGAGGTAAAACCCGGACCTAATGTCAAACCCAGAGCGGAACGCCACACTACTTCCGCTCGGTGCTTTTCAAAGTAAAAGCGGCTCAAATTGCCCAGCAATGAAATATGTCTCAGTCATAAAATGTCAAATTGCTAATTTTGGTTTATTTATGTAAGCCCATTAACTATGTAGTAGCTAAATATACTATTCACTTTATAATAAATATATTCCTCTCATCAGTGCCTCAAACAGAATACATGCTAATGTTAGCATCTGGTTTTACCTGAACTGAAATACAAAAATGAACAGAATACAAATTTTACAATACAATTTTTAATCAAGAAAGTGTTTAAAATTCAAATGGAGCCATATCAGTATCACTGTAATCAAGCAGTAACGTAATAACTATAATTTTTAAAAAGTAAGCTAGCGGTAAGCCAATCAGCCAGTTACAACTGCTGCTAGAAAATGCAATGATCAATTGTTTCCCACTTGTTAAAGTTCTTAAGGTGCTTTCCGTCTGTACTCTGAAAGTTGAGGAGTCTAACAGATTGATGTTTGGTTTAATTAGAAACCATCAAAAGTAAAAATTTTAAATTAGTTTCTGTAACTTTTAGCTTTATCCTATCGACAGCGGCCATGTTGGATTTTAATTCAAATATTTAATTAGAAACAAACTTGGTTATGTAGCCTATACATATAAATGTAATCAAAGGGTTGGAGATAGTGATGGTGGTGTGCAGGAAAGATCTCCTATTGATGTCTGTATCACATTAAGTCTGAATAAGCCTCTGACATTTATGCTGTATGTTTTAAACATCTAAACCACATAAACAATAGCAACTGAACCAAATTAAAATACAAAGTGTGAGACCAAATGATGTCTACAAATTGTATTTAAAAAACAAAAACGGAAACAATTAGATAAATTGGTGCCCTAATTGTTGTAATTTTTCTTCATTACAATCATTAGTAACTTGATGCCTGGATAACTACGTAATTCCACTCTCTTTATTAGTATATTTTTATTTTGAAGCCAGCCTATAAAGCGGAAGGGACTCTTTAGCATTTCTGCAGTAGCTTTTTGCGCTAAGGTACGCTGCTCCCCATGTTTGCTCACCGACTGGAATAGTTAGCAGCTGGTCGGAGTGAAACAAACAACTTGCCATTCAAACGAAGGGGGGCAGGTCTGCACTGCACCGGAGCACCCTGGGAAATGTCGTTTTCTTGGGCACTGGCCAATCTCACGCTTAATACTGAAAGAAGCAGATATTATCCCTCACAATTTTAACTTTTAACACCGTTTTCATAACGTAACACCTGTTAGCTTTAACCAAGAGATGATCCAGACATAAAAAGGCTGCTAAATCTAAGGGATTAGATGATGTTAGAGAGTAATAATTACACAAACATTTATAGTAGAGTCCAAGGATGTATGAGGCCCCAAGCACAATTTAATTTGGGGCCTCTTTAAATTTTAAGGCGCTCACTCCTGTAGTTGGTTGGCCATATTTAGGAGTTGACGTCACTGGCTCCGCCCCTATACGAAAGTAGAGTAAACCCTGAAAAACAGTGTTATCATGAAAGAGGTAGTAAAACTCAATGCATTATCTGAGACATTTCTTTTTGAGTCATTTTTGCCTGATCAACCAAGGTCAGGGAGGGGTTGCACAGTGGCACTTTTGGTAGTATTGTTGCCTTGCAGCACAAGGTCCTGGGGTCTTTCTGTATGAAGTTTGCATGTTCCCCCCGTGGATATGTGGGCTCTCTCAGGGCACTGGCCAATCTCAACTATGCCGTTTCCTCTACCGTCCAAAGGTTAACTGAATACTCTAATATTGTTTTCTCACCTCATATTCTGGTTGGACTCAGTTTAATTGCAACATTAGTTACATGTCAATTGATTCAAACTAATTGAAAAATCTGTTCCCTTATTTTACTCCCTAACACTCAATGCCTGAAATTGGGCTTCTGGCTTTTTAAAAGCTCCTTCTTTCTGAAACTCTGCCTCCAGGAAGTCATCACAACATGACTCCTCCATCACTCCTATAACGTTTTTAACCAGCGTTACACTGAGAAGTAACTCCAATAATGAGTGCAGATGCACTATTAGCAAACTCCACCAGGTGTATGCCAATTGCTACTGGCTAGTCTGAAGGAGCTCAGTGGAGGAGTCTTGGGGAAGGGATGCTCTGTGCAGCAGAAGCTTGGAACCTGCAGCTTTGAGGGCAAGTTGCATATTGAAGAGGTCTAGTCCACCCAGGTGTTTTGCACAGGTCCATCGTTGCTACAGGAGATTAAAGGATTTCTCAAACTTCCATGAAAGAATCAAAGCATGTTTGAAATGAGGAAATAACATTATGATGTAAAGCTCAAAAAAGTTGATTTTGCAGAACACTTCCCCTATAAGGTCATGTGTGTTAGGGTCTCTCCAAGCAGATGAAACATTATAATCTGATCTCTCAAGGGGATGACTCCGTAAAATGGGCCTCCCCAAACCCTCTACAATCAATCTTTTATTTTTGCATGCCAAGATTAGTAGAACTTCCTTCTCGGTGTATCCAGAACAAAACTAAGCAGCGGGAAACAACTACAGGTCAGCATAAAAAGAAGCAGCATCTGTTATCGGCACGCATACTTGCTGACTGCAAACGATCCGAAGGATTACCTGCTGCTCACACACATGGCCTCACTCAGCGACTCCCTACGAGGGAGCAGGACGGAAAACATCTGTGAGACTTTGAGAGAGAAAGTTGCAGCTCTCTTTTTCTGACTATCAGTTCATCTCACCTTCACACATGGATTGCATCAGGATGATTCAGTGTTGCCAGATGAGTCCTTAACAATTGGGATCCATTAGAGAAAATTATTTTTGCACTACTCTTCTGCTGTTCATGTTTTTGTTGGCTGAAAGCAGACTTCTCTGAACCTCTGAAACTTTTGAAGTCAAAATACTAGGAAGCAGCAGTTTTATTACATGTGAGAAAATGTTGATGCAAAGTGATGAAGGCAGAATGTTTTTCTCTGAAGCAAACCATCAGCTGAAACGCATTAGAGTGCAGAAAACACAATTCATCAACAATAACTGGAGCCTCAACGTTTGCAATTTACACCATTTGGTCTCTGCAAAACCCAAATCTTATTAGTGGGGCTTTTGCACTTAAAACAACAAAACACTTCTGCTCCACATGTTTAGCTGTACATAAAACACATTGTCTAACATCAGAACTGTTAAGTTACTTTTCCATGTAAAACATCTTTCTATAGATATTTGACATTTTTACACCACAGTCCCACAAAACTCCTGAAGCTTTTAGAGTTTTATGTGCTCATTCAAAGTTGGGTCTAGCTGAAAATGTCCTGTTAAGAGAGTTTTTCCTTTCAACTAATAATTGATCAACACAATTTGTTTGTACTGCATTATAACCTAGATCAAAATGGGATAATCTGATTTAATTTAAATTTATCTTTATGATTACGTTGTACATACTTAATTATTCTAATGAATGTAGAAAAAAAAGGTGCAACCTGTGTATGCTTTTCTTGGACTGGAACACTTCAATTAATGTCAATAAATAATAGAAAGTGAATACATTTTACATTTCCACACCTAAAATGTCCAAAGTCACACAGAGGCAATATAATGAAATATATATAAACTAATTTGTGATGTAAAGTACTTTGAGTTTTGCAGTGAATTAACACTTTAAAAAAAACTGAAGCGAATTGTTGCATTTCAGGTAGGACCAAAAACCAAAAAATGCACATATACAAATTTTAATCACAATAGATGGAGAGACGTAGAGATGGAAGATGCAGTCATTTCTAAATTCTTTTTCTCAAATTCTTTGAGATCAATTGAGCCATTTCTGGTTTCAGCTTTAAGTATCTGTTTTAAAACATCAAAAGTGTGTCTCTTAATCATTTAATCCTCTCAACTTTTGTTGACGCAACCTCCCAACAAAGTAAATTCTCCCGTCTTTCTTTCAGGAAGAATTATGTTTATTTTCTTTTAGCTCTGAGCCTTTCCCGCCAGGGCTCTAATTGGAAAGAACAATTAGTCATAACAGCAAACAACAAGCTAATCATTCGACAAACAAGAGCGGGAGAAGCGCCATCACAACAGGGAGATAATTGGGTCCGCAGTGTCGTTTGTTAACATGAGGAAGAAAAATAAACTGTGACAAGCGGTTCTTTCGCTGCCGATTTTCAAATGCTTGAAAGCAGATGAGAGGATGAAAAGTAAATATTTACAACTTCTAGAGAAACATCTCAAATATTAATAGGCTGAAGTAACCAGCAAGCATTCAAGTTTTATATGTGCTCGATGTGTAAATCAAGTGACTGTGTGCAGAAATAAAAATATTAAAAGGCAAATATCAATGTAGGTAAATCACAGTTGGCTCATCTGTGATTTACCTTCCTTTGATCGTTGGCTGTTTATTGAAACAAACTTTAAAGAGTAACCAAACCCAATTCAACTGTTTTTTGTTTTGGTTTTTTTTCTGCTGTACAAACTGTATAAATTAATATTTAAAGGTTCTATCCTTATGCTTTTGTGCAAATTTTTATATTCTCACATACATCTGTGTTCAATTCTGCAATAATTTGTCTGAAACCATCTCAATGCTGCCCTCTTTGGTTTGAACCGTGGCTACTGCAGTCAAATTTTTCAATTGGTTACAACAGTACAGCTTAATGTGACTGAAAGAATATTCACAACCTCACGTCTGGAGAGAATATTTGATAAGAAAACTGTCAATTCAATAAATAACTTACTGAATATATGTCTCACAAGTTTCATTGTCATTTTTGCTAAAAGTTTCTTTTTTAAAGCATTTTGAGTATAAAATTGCAGGACCTGCATTGTGTCGCTGGAGGGGGACTAGACGGATAAATAGCAAACTGATAGTCAACCTTAGCTGTGTTTCCGTTGACCACGTAACTCGAACATTTCAAAAAAACTTCATGAGAATACACCAATTTCGAAAAACGCTTGTTTTTTGATAAAACATCTTGACATTAGGAGGTGGTATTCTTTTTTGG